AAAAGGTAACTGAATAAGGATTGACCTGTGGATATGTGTGAATGTGTGTTTATGTGTGTGTGTGTGTGTGTGTGTGTGTGTGTGTGTGTGTGTGTGTGTGTATTGGTGGGTGGGTGCGTGACCTGAATTGCGTAAAGACTCAGCCAGAGTCCTCCAGCTGTCAGTGGTTCCTCTCCTTTGACACGCTGCCATAAATTTCCCAGGCAAATCTCTTTTCTTTCACCTTTATTTACCCAGGTGTGTGTGTGGTGGTGGGGGGGGGCTAAGAGTCTATGCTGAGTGCTTTACAATTACTCTTTTATACGCTATAAACTCCCTCCATACCATTTTTCACCTGATGCATTGATGAGAGTTGTTGGAGAAAAGAAAATTGAGTTCATACTGTTTTTTTTTTTGGTTTTTTTTGTTTTGTTTTTTCTACTTATTCTCTCTGGATTTTCCCAGCATATTCAAGCAGTGAAGCCACCAAATTCTTGAGCAGTAAGCTCACTTTTGACTTTTCACTTCAACCCCGCAGTACAGCTCTGGTCACTGCATTTACACGTTCGTTTGAACAAATGCGTACATGTGTTAATAGAACATCTTCAAATGTCTTCCTTTGTTTTTAAATTAAATTAGTCCACCACTCAAAGATATTCAGTTTACTTTCATATATGACAAAAGAGTATTTGATTATGAAAGTAGCTGCTAATTAATTTTTTGTCCAACTACTCTTTTCATCGACTAGCAGTTGCAGTTGTCTGCAGGTCTCTGCCCTTTTCCCATCAGTTCTAACAGTTTCTAATCCCTCTGGATTACCCATGTCCTAACATCAGTTTACATTTAAGGCGTGTAGATGAAATGTGCAGTGAGTGCAGAACAGTAGATGGGTACGGGAAATGTTTCCCAGCTCTTAGTTGAGTAGAAGGGGGAGGTGGGGTTATGATTCAGTGAGGAGAAAATGATGTGAGATACTTCTAAATAAACATGGGGTTTTCAGCCTACAGTGGAATATGGGAAGTGACTCAGCTGTTCTGGCTGCAGCCTTTTGAAATTGGGCACACACCTACACAAAAATTTTGCCTCACTGTTAAAAAAACATATTGGATATGATTGTCATGAGCTCGAATAGACGGATGAAACCGCGATTCAGAGAGTATCATTGTATCAGCAAATGAAAGCAGTAAATGGTATATGAAGTTTTGCAAAGCTGCCTGCTCCTGTGTATGTGTTGTCCTCCAAATGTGATTATAGTCTATGCTGCTCCTGCTGTAGATCTATTATAGCTACCAGTGATCATGAGCCTTGTACAGTGCAATGTCAAGTAAATTCTGGATTTAATGTCTAGTTTAGCTCTCGTCCACCGCATTAAGAGTGGATTCTAGTAAAGATAAAAGTTATTCAAGCCCTCAAGAGAGCTCCCAAGGTAAAGCACTGCTGACTTTTATGGAGCTTTTAAGATGAGAAAATGGCCACAGGAAAAGAAAGTGTTCTTCAAACCCTGAATAAAGAGGATTTGGTAAAGTGCTACTGATTATATTGTGAATGGATGGTATTTATGGATGATCTGCTCTGTGATTTTTATTCCTCACCAAATGAATCAAGGCAATACAGAAATATTTGTCTTCCACTGTGTTACTGACATTGTATTTTGACAATACGTGGTCTAACACAGCCAAAATCAAACTTTATGATGAATATATAAATTCATACACATATTGAATTAGTGCACATCCCTATGAGCTCCTCAGTGTTTTGATTCTCTACACACTTTTGGCACAGACCTCTCCACTAGCGGATACAGTTTACAGCTTGGGAATGCTAAATGTTATGCTGATATATTTCATTTGGCAGCTCTGTCAAGGATTTTAAAAGCCATGTGAAGTAATGTAAGTAATGTATGTAATGAACCTGCATGCATGTGTGGTGAAATTTCATATGTAACGCAGTCAAAAATACATTCACTACTACTCAAAAGCAGATGAACAAACCCGAGCTCATAGACTTTACGTGCAGGAACTTTTGTGTGGAAACGAATTTGCAGTTTTAAATGCAAAAATCTACCATTCAAATACTAGCAGGAGTATGTGCATATAAACCAGACTGAGACCTGAGATTAGAGAAATGATTGAGGGCACGTTATTGGAAATGTAAGCACACACACACACATGCAGGAGACACACCTTATAGTCAAGTCCATGCATTTTATAGTGCGAGCATGAGTCCCAGGCTGGTCCCAGGCATGCAGTAACTTTACACTGGTCACTAATCACAAACATCACAAAATTAACCTCAGTGACAGCTCTGAGAGCGGCACGACAGAAAGTGCACGCCTAGAAGTTTCCAACTAGCCGTCTCTCATCACTCGCAGATGATTGTGAGAGTGTGTGTGTGTGTGTGTTTATGATTTTGACATGTAAATTACACGTGTGTGGCCATATGTGTGCATGCTGAGTATCCTGTTACTTTACTCTCATTCTATTCATCCACCACCATATTCAGTCATCTCCCTCTTTACTTTGAGGGTCTTTTATTAAAAAATGATTATAAGAAAAGATGATAACATATGTACAACTAACAAAAATGAATCAAAGTTAAGAAGCTGTGCACATCATACATTACTCTGGACCATTATATATAATTTTGCCAGTCGTCTTCATCAGCTGAGGAAAATTTGTGATAGTGTGAGTTTACTCACCATTTTCATCCTCATCCCTCCACTCTGTACAGTACATACATATACACACTTGCAGTAAATGTATATGCGTTGCCTGTGGCAGCATTATTATCCAATGTAACTACAAAGCTTTGGAATGGAAACTTTCACATACAGTCGACCTCTGCTTCTTTGCAGCGATTTATTATTACTCCTCAAATTTCAGAGATCAATCTGATTTTGTATTTGATGACACTCGGTCGTCAGTTGGATTTCTTAAATCCTAAATCGTGTTGTGAAAACTAAAAACCTCCAGTCAAATCATCTACATTATTATAAAGACACTGAAGCTGATTTTCATTAGCAACATGTGTCACAATTTGCTCCATCAGTGAACCAAGACTCAGACACAAACACTTTCAACAGGCTCATGCTGTCTTTCCACACCACACTGCAGTGAATTACATCATTTCTGTTGTTTCTTGGGGGTTAAAAAGAAAAAACAAAAACTCTCCATCCTCCTCTATCTTATTTTCTATCCCTCAGTCAGTCAGAGCACCTGTGCCTGTCCAGTCCTCCCTTTATCTTACATCCACAGCCACCAGGGAGCTGTTTTATCAGTCCCTTTACGACCTGCCTGCTTGGCCTGTTCAATACGCTACATGTCGGAGCAGCTGTAAATGGCCTTTCAGGACACTTCTATCGGCACTGGAGAGCTTTTACAGGGTCACAGTGGCCAGTGTGGATTTGTTTTATGTCACCGCATGTGCGTGCAAGGCTTTTAGAGAGAGTATGTGATGGTCTGAAGGATGTGTGAGAGGATTTAGATGTAAATGGAAGTTTGGTAGAGCCAGTCTCCTGGAAATTACATTTGTACATTGCGAAATTCTTTTCCCAAAGAGGTCGTGATGTAAAAAATAATCACTGGCTGGATTAACTTCAGGTAACTTTTTTGGATGAATGAATCCTGCATTCAATCTTACAAGAATATGAGTGATTTTAAGGTCACCCAGAGCACTTTCAAACAGACATTTTACTTCTTCTGGAGGGAAACTGCTGTAAAGTCTTCAGAAAGTAACAGTGGATTCTCTGTTTAATATTTCCTCCCACTGAAATAACAGATACACAGCAAACAGAGATCCTTACACCACAGAGGAATTGTCGGTATGAAGAAGATGAGAAAAGTAATTTTGAATTTGATTTTTATTGAGGAATGATTTGTTAGCCGCAATGTAAAACCATGCAAATACTTTCCACTCCTCTTTGCCAAGACAGTGTCATAAAGCACCGATTTATCTTACACACTCTCTGACCCTCTTCCTCCTTCCTCTCTGCCTCGGCATTATGGGAGCGGGCAGTTTAAAAACAGAGGTATTTACGACTCAGCGCTCTCCTCCTGGAGTTCCTGGAGCTCCACAAAACATGTGGGACTGGCAGTGTGACACCACCAGTTTAAAGATAGACAGGGTTTTGGTTGGCTATCTGGCTATTTTGTATCAGGATCCATCTGTCTGCCTGCACACCTGCCTATCACTGTGTCTGACACATGCGGTTAAAGCAGGTCTGAACATTGTATGAGAGAACTGGGACGGTGAAACTGTTACTGGTGTATCTGTGTCTGGCTGTTTTAATGTGATTCCTTTTGCAGTGGAGGCACACGTCTTTTGGATCCTTTACCTTTACTTAATTTATACTTTAGTAGTTTAATCTGTTAAGATAAAGTTTTAAGATGCTAATATTTTATAAGAGATCATATTTTGTTCACGTAAAATCTAAATCTGCAGGTTAACTAGTAATTATAGCTCTCAAGTCTGTCACATAACGGTGAAGTAAAATATCTACCTCTACAATACACTAAAGTAGTATTATTATTATTATTATTATTATATGTAATTTAAGTGCAAGTATAAATTGTACGTGAGTAAATATACTTGAGTCAAATTCCACCACTGCCCTTTATGTATTTTTGTTCATCTAAAAATACATTATTAAAATGTATTAAAAATACATAAATAGTAAATTAGTAGTAGCAGTCTAGTAGTATAATTAGTATAATAGAAGCAGCCTCTATTTTAAAAATTAAAGCATTAGTCATTAAGTTTCAGCTGTTTAAATGATGCTAAAGTTTGACTGCCTTTGGTGGCCTTATATAAAATGAGCTGTGTGTTATCTCAAGTTAAAAAACTGCTTTCATCCATTTTGACCTGTGCTTCAAAACTAAAAGAACATGTCGCCATCTACTGGTCAAAAGGAGTAATCGCCTGACTTTAAGCCACAGGTGCGCACGTGATGAAGCAGTGATTAAAACACAGCCACTCCACCTGTTGAAATGAAAGGGACTGTGAAGAAAACAAACAACGGAGCCCTACATGTACAGCACCTGCAGCGTTTTGCTTTTTTGAAGTCGAGACAAGCTCCGACATGTCAGCCAGAGATTATGAAATTCTGAGCGGCAGCAGTCTTGGAAGGAATTGCATCCCAACAGGCCAACAGCTTCCAAGGACTCCTCTGTCAGATGTAAAGAGACGCCTGGATCTTGATGAAGATTCAGATGAAAGTCTTGAGGAACCACAGGAGAACACGGCGGTACGTTCAGAGATTGTCCATTATTTCACCGCCACTCTTTAACTGTACCTAACTTGAATGGAATTAAATCTGTTATCCTCTTATCAGCAGACAGGTGCCAGAGATCAATACAACGACTTGAACAGGACGCTTGATGTCAGCACTCCTGAGAAAAGAACAGGTACAAAAATATTGATCTAAAGAATATAGTCTGCTCCCTTTAGTTGCCTTGTTGGTTGTGCTGCTTTTAAGCTTCCTCGCAAATCGCATAGGGACAGAAACGTTCTTGAAAACATACATTTTGGGTTCAGTGTTGAAATGATGTGAAAGCTTGTAAAGCACCACTTTTACTTCCAAGGTTGTTTTCCTGCACATGATGTTTTTGTCCTCTCTCTCTCCTTGTTTGTTCAGAAAGTACTTTGGAAACTGGTTACCTAAACTCCATGCTGAAAGGGATGAAGGGGTATCAGCTGACAGCAGGTGACTTGGAGTTTATTATGAAGATGAAAGAAGAAGAGCGCCTTAAAAAACTGGAGGTAATTCTGGCCTTCTCACTGCATGCTGCTTGATTACAGTCATGTTCCTCAGTTGCACTGTGAATGCGATCATTTGTGTACAGGTTTTTTTTTTTTTTTGTTGTTGTTTTTACTGAGATGTCAGTTTGCTGATGAAATGTGGATATTGTGACTGCCCTCAGGGAGAGCTGGAAGAGGTGCGGAGGTCATTGCAAAAGGAAACGATGGCCTTTGAGCAGGCGTGTGCTTCCAGGGACATGGCACAGGCTGAACTCAACAAGGTGAGCCTCTCTTTGAATTACAATAAGCAGGAAAGGTGATGAGAAGATCACAAAACTCAGACAAGTTACCCTTTTTATCTTGTGAAATCCTTGTCTTCAAAACGTCAACTATTCAGTAAGAAATCAAGCATATTTTTTCACTGCAAGTTTAGCAATAAAAAATCTTAACTCGAGGCTTCAAAGGCAGTTGTATAGCTACTAGGGCACATCTGACCTTTTTACCACCATAATAACTTTCTCTCAATGTTCAAGCCTGTGTCTGTTACAGGCATTTTTACTAGCATTTTATATTGCCTCTAAAATGGCATTATTTTCCCCTGGAAGGTCAACAAAGTTATAAATGTGAAGCTGAAGATGATGGATCCTTTGCGATCATTCCTCTGGCATTTACAGTCTGTTAGATAACGCTCAGTGGAAATTCACAAAAAACCAGAGAGGCGATAACGTCCAACAAAGGTTAAGAGGTAGATTGGATCCACAACTTCAAACACAAGCCCACTGAGCCTGCAGAATGGCCGGTTTCTCAAACATAGCACATACTAATAAAAGTGTGCAGGTTCCTTACATGTGAAATATAGTTGGAAAGAAAACAAAAATTCATCCTGCTGATCCTGATGCATCGGTTGTTGTGTCCGTCAGCTCCCATCCTGTGAAGAGCTCACGGAGTGCGCACAAGTGGTCCTCAAAATGACATCGCCATCGGCCGAGTTCATGGACCTGGATGCCAAGGCTCTCCTGGCCATGATGATGAAAGAACAAGTCCAGAGGGCCATGGATGAGAAGAGGACCGAACTCAGTCAGATGGAGAAGATGCTGGCAAAGAAGTAATGAATAGCTTGCATAGGTGAAGCAGTGTGTGCCACATTTTGAGTCACTGAAGTTAGCCAGTGTTGCATTTGAAAGCATCATGCCAGTGTTTACACTGGTAGTAGACTATTCACTTTGTTTTGCTAACACACAAACATGTGCTTTTAGTCTACTGTAGATATTCCTGTAAAGACGGTGCTATGCTGAGTTCTTCTTTTATTTTTATACCTTGAATAAGCAGGTGTGTAGTCCTCTATTTCAGTGCATTCATGTGCTGGTGGGAGAAGCTCAAACACACAAAGCTTGACAGCTAAAGAGGCCCCAAAACTTCACACTGTCCCCTTCACAACACTGATTGCTTATTGATTGGCTCCAGGATTCCACTTTTCCATCAGTTGCAGGTGTTCAATAGCTTTACTACTGTGGACAATTGTCCAGCTGCACTGTAGGTATTTATTTTTAACATCCATGGAAAATTCAGGACCAAATACTAACATGGATTCTTTAAAAAAAAAAAAAAAAAAAGGTTTTTTAAAAAAAAAAAAAAAAAAAAAAAAAAAAACATCTGCGATAGAAGGAAGAATGCGACTAAAGAGAGACGGCGGCTTGAAAAACAAATTGCCACTGAACAGGTAAGAGCGGCTCCAATTTGCTAAATATTTTATTAAATTTAAATAATTTTTTACTTTTTTTTTTTTTTTTTTTGCTTTCAGCTGAAGATACAGAGGTTAATGTTCCAGTTATCTGACCTGAAGTCTGAACTTGCACAAGAAGAGGTGAGAATCTGATCTGTTGTACCCACTGATTTTTGGTCTAAACTCTTGCAAAACATTGTCCTGAGGGAAGAAAAAAAGTTGCATCTGGTACTCTAACTAAGCAGTATGTTTCCACAGGAAGCCTATGAAGCTCTTGAGGTGCAGATCAAGACCAAAGGAGTGAAACACCGAGGAAAGGGGAGAAAAGGAAAACCTACAGAGAAACCACAAGATGCAACAAACCACCCTGTGGCCCCAGCTGGTGCTGGAGAGGAGGCACAAAACGTTGGTCTGAGAAGATCCAAGAGGATAGCAAGCAGGAGTTGAAGGTTTTTTTTTTTTTTTTTTTTTTTTTCCCCCAGACTGAAATATCTCAATGTTGGATGGACTGCCATGAAATTTCAGACAGATATCAGTAGTTTCCATTGGCTGAATCCTTTGGTGATCCTGACGACCCTGGCACCACCATGACATTTGCACCTGTGGTTTGTCCTTTGCTTTTCATCCATCATCAGGTCAAATTTTGACTCGTCCAGTATTTTGCTTCATGACCTTGAGATTTTAGAAATGTTGTATATAGTTTTGTCTAATTGTAAGGATCTGTCTGCCTTTTTATTTTTGTACAAGAAATAAACTTTCACAACAGTAGATGGGTCTTTGTGTTCACTGGTGTGAAACCTATGCTAAGCTGTGTACCACAAACATGGCTTATGAATGATGTTACAGCAGTCATGAGGAATTATGCTTAAGTAATGTTAAAAAAATATATATATATGTCCCAGTTTATGAAGAGAGGTCAAAGGTCAGTCAGCTACAGAGCAGCAGCATAAGAACTGACTTGAGGATTAATGTTTCTTCCAGGACAGCTCAGAAGAGTGAAAACTTGTCAGCACAAGGGCCTGAAGCCCAAACCATCATGACAAACTGAATTACATGTGATGTGTTTTAATTTGTGGTTCAAAGGGAAGTCACTTCCTCCATTCTATTTTTACAAATCAGCCCCTGGAGCCCATGTTACTCGTGTTTTTTTTCTGTGTCTGTAGATTAGTAATTCAAATCTAATCATAGATCAGCATGCGGTAATGCAGAGAATATTTTTGATTATGTGAGTTTATGAGACGTTTCCTAAACTAAACCCAATTTCTCTCAGAGCCAGCAGACGTTTTATCACACCTCATCTCTCTCGTTCACTGTCACAGTTGGAAATGAGTCTCGAGCGTCGTAATTTCCCTCTAGTAATTCTTGGACAGCCCAGTGGCAATTTGGGTGTAACGTTGTTAATCTTACATTAACTATCAATCGGTCTGAGCGGGGAAGAAACCAAACACACCACGTTCGCCGTCCAAGTCTGTAGTGGGAAAAAATTGTGCTGACAGAAGGAATGTTTCGAGGCACCTTCTTAGGTTACAAATTAAGTTTGAACTGACGGTCATATTTGTCTGTCATTTGCCAGGATTTGATCCACAAACGGCTGCAGTCATGACAGCTGGAGTAACATCTAACTTCACAGCAGAAGTTCTGTTCTATTTTTCCACCTTGATCCTTGACTTTTCCCGCAATCTGGGAGGCTCATTTTCAGTCTGTGTAATCCCCAGAACCTGACTAGAGATTGCCCTTCTTTCCCTCACAACTATGGGTACACACAGATATTTGTCTGATGGTCAAGCAAAACAACCCAGCCAAGACCAAAGTAATACAAGCACAGGGTGGGAATCGTGGATCCATATCCTGCAATTAAGTTTAATAGTCTAATATTAATGAAGCCACTTTACCTCTCCAAAAAAACGTATCATGAGCAATGGGTTTATTCTGAAAATGGGCTCAGTTTTGGCTACAGAGAGTTAATCTTTTCTTTTTTTTTTCTTTTCTGTTATTCCTGCCTTATTTCTGTTTCCTTCTCCGTGGCTCCAAGTCCTTCTGCTTGTGTTTGCCAAACCTGGAACCCTGAACTACTTTTCAGAATCGAGGCATGGGAATGTTACCTCAAGTACGTCAATTTCAGAAATCAGATCTTGTTTACGGACGGAGTCCAGGCAGACAGCTGGGACCTGGCCCAAGGAATTGTGGGTCATGGATTATATACAAATTGCTCACGTCTTTTGCCTTGTGGCTGGATATACTTCCCTTTGTATTTAGGCACTTACGAAGTGACCACTTAATATTTTTCCTTTTTACAGAATAGGCATACACAGCAGCTATTGTATCAGTGGCATCATATCATTGTGTAGTTTTTGTATATAAAGTGCTTGCAAGTGTATAATGATGCCCTATAAGTAACTATATATGACTAAAACTGCTGGGTTTCCATAGGAATGCTCACATTTAACTGTGTATTGATAACTGCTACATTTACAGCATGCTACATAATCAATTGTCCCCTTTACTCTTTCTTTGCATGCATTTATAGTAAGCCACCACCAGGGGGCAGTGCTACGAATGTTAACCTTCCACAGCATATCTTTTCAGTCTTTCTAAATATGTAGATTTTTACATATTGTAACAGCTGATGACGTGATTCTGGTGAATCAGATGACAAGGTGAAGTGAGGATATCGGTGCCTTTTGGCTTTTTAACACCTTTAAATCAAGCCAAGCCAAGCGTGTGTATATCATCATCATCATCATCATCATCATCATCATGTAATATCTAAAATGTAGTTTTTGGTTTGAAGGCATACTGTAATATAGGTATTTAAGCAAATTTAATGCAAAATACCTCTACTCACTACTGTCTCACTACTTTCTGACTTTTTAATTGAGAAAATAACCAACAGATTAATCCATAATGAAAATAATCATTAGTTTCAGCCCGATATGAAATATTTTAGAATTAAATCATACAGTAAAATAGTTGTGCAGTTATTGTTAGGACAATACCGTGCATGGTAGACATGTATTAAGATGTGGGACGATGGTCGATGTTTTTACCGTAATTTCAGTGGATAGAAATCTTATGGCCTCAGGGGGCAAAAGAAACCTGAGTGAGTTAGTGAAGAATGATCCATATTTGCTATTTATAGTGGTGCACACAGCATTTTAGGTGGAAAAGGGGCAGTTGTGGAAGAAGCACTCTGATGAAGTAAAAGCAGCAATGCCACAGTGTAGAAATACTGTACATGAAGATGCAAATGTTATAATAGAGGAATAACATCTGTTAAAGCACTAGTGACGAGGTTAAAGAGCACAACAGCAGACTGTCTTTGGTGTGACAAAGTTATTTAGTGTCAGACTCCTTGCGTGCCGTCGCGGACCATCTGTCCTCCCCCGTAACATTTCTCTGTTTAGCTTGGACACCGAAACAAGACGGTCCCCACTCCCCTGCCAAGGAAAACCCTGTAAAAGAACATTAGTTAGAGGGAGGGCTCAGACCGGAGGAGGTGAGGCCTGTGACACATGTATGAGCCGCCGCGCCAAGTCTAGCGAAGGCTGGAACACGTTTGCACTCACTGAATGCATCCAAATCTCAGTGTGGAGGCAAAGTGTGAATCCTGCTGCTCAGGTCTTACGCCAGTTCCACTTAAATCCCAAACCGAGAGAGCACTTCTCAAGAGGATGCGTCTCTGTGATGTGGTTTGAGATGACCGCAGACACCAAAGAGCTTTGGTTGAATCATCGGAGGAAACGGTCTGAAATAATGTGGATGCTTTGGAAAAATACTGGCAAAAGTAGAAAGCAATAACTATATCTAAATTCATGAATAATTTGGAGGTGAAAAAGTAAGAGTAGTGAGAGCAGAAATGGCAAAGCAGTCGTTACTGAACTCATTTGTTTTGTTCTGTTGCACAGCATCCACCAGGAAAGGAGAACAGGAAGGAAGCTGCTTGGGAACCAAAATGAAAAATAAAATGCATTAGACTAAACATTTGGACAATGCCTGCATACGCACAGGCAATTTGTGGATAGTGAACGTATAAGGAGAACAATCTTCAGCATAGTTCAAGTCCCCAAACCCTCTTGTCAAACAAGCATCCGCCCACAATGACTCCCTGCTGACCTCTCTCGACGAGGGTGAAAAGGGAAGCTCTCCACGGGGAGCATTATTATCACATTACAGGAATAATCCACCACAGAATTTCACCATCAGTTTATAATAGGAAGTAGAGCGGTGAAGTGTGCAGGCATGAACACAGTGTTGTCAGGCGGTCAGGCAAATATTGGAGGTAACAAGGTGTATGTATTTCATCAAAACCACTTTGAAAAAGCCCAGGCTCTTATTCCTATAAGTATAAACTGTTTCTGAAAACTTCCATCCAAATATCCATTGATT